TAATAATAATAATAATAATCATCATCATCATCATCACCACCACCACCACCAGCAGGATGATCAAAGCAGTGCTCCAACCCTAGTATCAACAGCGCAGCCATACAGAAGCACCTGCAGTGTATTTTAGAAGTGTCCCCAACATAGAAGGGGCACTACTTTTGCACAGTGCAATATTCTTCCTTTGGCTGTTCTGGAGGAAAGATATAGGAAAATCCTATGCTTGGAACATTTAGGTCTCTGAAAGTTTAGGGAAGCTGAGTCTACCGAACAGGTTCTCCTTCAGCATATGTAGATTGGAAATGCTCTAACCTCTCCACTAACTGAAAGTTTTACAGGTCACAGAGTTCAAGCTATGCCTCTATTAGACTACAATCCCTTTTTAACAGCTCTGGTAGTCTTAATATTATTGATTCTTACAGCTAGTTTTTAGAATTACAATGTTCATACTTTTGTGCTATTAATGCTAAGTTTTAGCTCTATATTCCACAGCTTAGATAGCTTCTGTTGTAATTTTTTTTAGTTCTTACATCTATTTTTTTAAAATATATTTTACATTTCATCTTCTTTCTTCTATATAGTCACTACAAATATCTAATAATATTAGACATTTGTAATAGTAATGCTAATTCTTTAAGTATTTTCCCCCCATTTTACAGTCCAGATATATGCTGTTGCTGGTTGTAAATTGTTTTATGTTATATTATGCTGGTCTGTGACTGAAATAGAGTTTTATAAATAAAGCCTCTATGCATTTAACAAGAGTAACTACAGTATATATTACTAAACACAATCACCAGCCCAAACTAAAATCTATTTTATAATGTTAAAATTGATAAAATGCTCAAATGCTACTCTTAAAATAGTTTATAGTCAGAAAACAGCATCTTAAAAATGTACATACAGTATGTGAAGTTAACAGCAATGTTATACTTACTGAGGTCTCTACATTTGATAGTACTATAATCAAAAGAAATACAGAGATAGTCACACGCTTCTCGTAGTTCAGGAATAGATATTCCATCAGGGCAACGTATCACGCCAGTCTTGTAGTAATCCTTAAATTAAAAAAGAAAACAAACTGATTTGTGAGAAAACATTTAATTCTTATAGAATAAGCCCTACATTTTTCCAAATCCTTGCATGTTTTTCTGTTGCTGCAAACAAAACTGGGTATCCAGTAGCGTTGCAGAATGAAGCAATCTCTCTCCTGCCATATGAAGACTGAAAAGAGACTACTGTAGAACTGGAACATAATGGACACCAATTAAATTCTGAGTGCAATTCAAATTGCTTTGCTAACTCCATAAAAACGTATGCCTAATGAATCTTAGGAAATGTTTCTCCCCTCAGAAATGTTATCTGCCAAAGGTTTAACATCATTCTTTTTGTCTCTCAACTTCATCTTCTACTCCCATATTTACAAATAACATGATTCAGGAATTGAGGAACCCTGCTGTTTTCTTGGGCACTTAAAAGTCTTCTCAAGTAATATATTAATAATATATTAGTAATTATAAACACATTTCATGAAAAATAGCTTGCCCACTATTGCTGGCTTTCCCCAACAATGCACTGCCATTTTCCAGACAATAGCACATAGATGGTAAGCCCAATAGGAATGGCCAGTATCTCAAGCTGAGAATCCTTTAACATTCAGATGAGATGAGTTCCCTGAACAGAGAAATTTGAAAATCACAGACTTATAGCCAAATTCTTTATCCCTGGATTTTACAAGATTTTGAAAAATTGCATAATTATCAGTTGATACTACTATTGGTAGTACTCACAATACTGTTTAAATAAATTACAGATGTTTATAGTAAGCTTTTATAGAAATGATTTCCTACTTTTTAATCTCATAAATGTGAAATGGTGAACATGGGAAGAACAGAATCTTACGAGATCTCACCAGGATAGCACGAAAAACAGTGGAACCAATTCCTTCAGCCACTTCATATTCTCCTTTTTCATTGGGCCGTGTGAAATTATGTTCCCTTCCTGAACCAAACATCCTATATATAGAAAAAAAACCCATGTTACTCAAAATCCATTTTAAATGTACACAATTCATCAGGGTTTGAATTAAATTTGCTGAAACTTTAGAAATAATTATAGGAAATTCAGAATATGCACCGTTAGGGACTTGCAGACTTTGCAAGCGACTATGTCCATATTTCCAAAGAAAATTTGAGATGTTTAACGTATTTTAATACATGCAAAGTATGATTTAAAAACATCCATCTCTAAACTTAAAACAGTCAATGACAGAAGTCTTATTGACAGGCTTCATAGATTTGTTTTGCAACTTTTAACAATAATTTGGGTGGAAATTGATGAGTAATTCAATTCGACTCTTAAATTTAACTGCTACAAAGAGGGACAAAACTTTTTCATCCATGCACACCAGTAGCTATTCTTCAGACTCTATAGAAGCCAAAACAGTAATTTTAAAAAAATGTGTTCCCCACACTAAAATAGCTCTGCTTTTTGGAAGATTAACAATTAATGTTGAGCTGACATGTTTCAAAGTAGTAGGATACTGCATACTGATAATGCACTACATTAAGCCTCATATCACATCCAATACCACACCCCTCCCCAGACTTTGGCCATGGCTGCCAGAGCCTCTCAAAAGTTGCCCAATTGTTATGCTTAACATGACAGTGACGTTATTAAATATGTAACTGTAATAACAGTGTTAAAGTTTACTTAAGTTTAAATGTAAATTAAATCAGCTGTTTTGTTTAGTTACTTCTTGCCTTCCCTTCTCTGCCCCTTCTATTCTTTCAAATGAGGTTCCTAGCATATCATTCAAAGGCCAAGAGTGGCCATTGTATGAAAAAAGGTCTCTTACTATAGATGAATGTGCCGTCAATGTACGCATCCTCATTACCACCTACGCTACTCCATAATGAATTGGATACTTCATTGAAAAACTTCACACTAGGTAATTTCAAATTAACAAAGGTGTTATTTGAAAAATAACTATTGAAGAAAAAAGTCATGAGGTGTTTTATTTCCAATAAACTGAACCAAGGATAGACTTGTGTAAAAATAAACTACCCAACAGCTAAGTTATACTTCATGAAAAATACAGTAATACAGACTAATGGAGACTAACTGCACCTGAAATGTTTGTCTGACAGAAGCAACAAAGTGTGTGATCAAAAATATTTCACAATACTAAGACATTTGTTCTTAGTCATAATTCAGCCAGACACCTGATGATATATATGCAATAAAAAGTAATGCCAACCTGCCCAACATTGTATTTGGCTGTGCAGTAAAAACAGAAGGATCTACAACAAATCGAGTATTGTCCACTATAAGTGTTACTCTCTCTGAAGTTCTTATATTCCGAGCTCCCTCTTTTGCGTTCTCGTACACAAAAACCATTTCTCCAGCATTCTTGCAACTCCCATCCGAACTTGACTGGCTGCTGTTTCTACTACTGTTTCCTAGGCTGCTAGTGGAACCATTCGGAGAAGCTTTCTGAGGACGAGGGCTGCTTGGTCGAGATGAGCTATGATCCTTCTCACGTTCTGCAATGAAAAGCAATACAAATATTTTAAAATGAATTGCAGTATCAGAACACATTATATCTCAAAAGCACATTACAAAGGCAACATTTTTTCTATATTAAGCCAAACTTATCTTTGGATTTTAGTTTGGTGGTAGTAGAAACTCAGTGTACCATCTCATGATGTGACAGAGAAAGGCAGCAGTTTCCTAGCTTTCTCTGCCTATTGCTACACTGACTACTGAGGATGGAGTGGAAGAGGTGAATAATACAAGAGGGAATAACTAGTATAATCCAGCAATGGGATGAGACTTTTAAATTATTCTAAATTTTGAGATACCATAGACCAGTTTTCCCTAATTTGGTGCCAGATAGTTTGGATTACATTCTCCATCACAAAAGGATTGCCAGTATCCAAAACATCTGGAAGATCACAGGCTGAAGAATGCCATAGAACCAGTTTCCATGCTTAGGCCTCAGCTGAGCATACCAAACACAACATACACATGTAACATTGTACCCAAACATTTCTGTACACAAGGCTTAAGTAATCTGCTCTTTAATGTTTACTTTCACACAAATTACAGCTATAAAATGGAGAATGAGTATTTACATTCCCAATGAGATTCTGAACATTAATTTTTGTGCTTTCACATTTTAGATTTGTGACACAAAGAACCCTAGATTTAACTTCAAGTGAAAAGTTGTGATCTTTGGCAAAGGTACTTACTTTCTAGTAAAAACTTATTTTAAACAGATATAGTTATCTCATGATATACCTCCTTGATGTTGTCTTGTTGGCGAAGTAACATTTCTGATGCATGGAGTGAGCTGAGACTCAAGACGTTCATGGGATGAGTCACGTGATCTATCACTTGACCTTCTTCTGTCTCTTGACCTTTCGTGGCCACCACTAGCCCCATGAAGACTCATTTTTCTGCAATCACTCTTAACAAGACGAGATGAAGTACTAGAAGACAAGTGATCATGTTGAGATAGCATTTAGAATATTTAAATAGCAGTCAATATAAAACAGATCTTAATTGTGAATGTTTATTTTTCTAATATCAGTAGTATTCTAATATTAACCTCCTTTCTGAAGAGTTTAGAAAGAGGCACACTGCTTTTGGGAAAGTCATATCTATATGGCAAGATTTTCACCTTTTCATGGCACCTTGACAACATGTACATAATGGGCTAGGAAATGCCTCGGAAACAAAATGAGCCAAACCGGAAATGCAATGGGTCCTGATCAGATGTCTGAAGGCTGTCAGGAACTCACGCCTCATCACATCTCAACTATTGCAACATCCAGGGTCATGAGTTTCCTTTTTGATTAAGATACTTGAGTTCGTACAGAATGTGTTAGTCCATGCACAAACGGATGAAGACCGATTCACAAAATAATACCTCATTTTTAACCAGTGAACTAGCTACCAATAGGTTTCTGGGGAAAATTCAAATGTTGATTACTACCTATGAGACTATATGCTCCTAATAGAATCTGTCCTAACATGTGAATGGTGATTGCATGTGGTATATCTTCAACCCTTATGGAGCTATGGGAGCAGGGACCAAGAAATTTGTCTTTCCTATAAAACAGCTTGACCACCAACCATATACGGATGGCTCCTTCCCTAGAAAAGAAATAAAAATAATCGTCTTTCTCCAGTGTTTCAAATATTAATTTATTGTAGACCCTGTTGCCACCTGTTATCAACCAGGCTTATTTACCTTTTAACTGTTTTGAGATTTTTATAGTTTTATAGATGTTTTAAATATGCAAGCCACAGAAAGTTTTATGGTTGAGGTATCATATAAATCATGTAATTTAAATACATTTTACATTATGAAACATGTCAAGTTTAATTCAAAATTTGAGATTCATATTCTTTTAATTCCTTCCCTTTTCCACAGAAATCTCAAACTGCTCTATTTGAAAAAATTAAAACTACACAGAACTGAAATTTTTACTAGTTGCTTAATATGAAAGTAAAATGCTAACCAACTAGGCAATTAAAATTGTATTTGTATTTTGTAACTGTATCTTTACCAGGGACTCCAACATACAACATAGCAAAAGAACTGACAAAAAAGCTT